CAGGCCTAACTCTTAAAAAAATAAAAAAATAAAAAAAAATAAAAAAAAATTAAGCGTAGCCTAAAATTAGGGTATGGGCAGGCTTGGGTTAATTTATTTCAAATTTCGCAAGGAATTTTTTTTTATTAGTACCCAAAAGGTGGTTACATAAGTGAAATTTTGAGTTATAAACGGTTTTTTAAAGAAAGCAATAATTTTACGTTACAACTGTCGTGTAGTTCTGATTGGCTTTCTATATATCCGTGTATATACATGTAGTGTACAGTACAAATAGAACTACCCAAGAACACCACCAAAAATTTTCGGAAACGTGAGTGACAAAGTGAGATTTATTAACGCAATAAACATGTTGTAAGCGATTAGAATGGAATAATTATACTAAAAATCCTAACTTTAAAATTTCTGAAGCAACTTAAATTCTGTTCCCACTTACGACAAACATACATAAAAATGTAGATTTACAAACGGCTTATTAAACTAAATGATTATTTTCCAAAAATGATCATTGTTCTCAACTTATAAATTATTAACGACTAGTACACCTTGTATGTTATGAAAAGTGTTAAAGAAAAAAAAAACCTACTATATTCTTTTAGACCATGTCTAAATTTAATACTATCACACACGTATAATAAAATGTAACCTTAAAAAAAATATATATATATATTAGCTATTATTAAATGGTAATTGTTAAATTAATTGTCAACTTACAAGAGCAGCTATTAACGTTACAATAACTGTATTAGGATAAAGATTAAGATCATAAATATAAACTATATAAGAAATTATTTAATTTTATTTTTTTATTAGACAGAACTTACTTGTAGATAACCAAAAATACCATCCACTAGAAGCAGCAGAACTTGCATCCTTGATCAAAAAAGCAAAATCAGCAACAAAGAATACCCATAATGCAAGAAATATATACAACCCGATTTTCCATTTTCGAATAAACTAAAAAAAAATAAAAAAGTACGTAATTTAAATATTAAATGTCATCCAAAATACCTAAAATACCTAAAACAAGTAATAAGGAAAAGTACCGAATTATAAGCGAGAATCAATGAAAGAAATGAAAGTAATAATATTGAAGCATGAATAATGTAGGAAATTATAAACATTATTGATTGTTGCCCAAGAAACGGGATTATTGCAGCCGTTAATGCAGCATTTACGATGATCAAGAATGTATCCAACTTTAGCATCATAACAAAAATGAGCATTCTCCGATAAAGGTCTATAAAAAAATCATAGGTAAGTATAATAAGTATTAGAAATATTAGACATGATATAAACATACTGTATACTTCATGAAATCTACCTTGTTTATTTATTTCTATGTTAGCTTTTTCATACATTTGCTTTTCATACAGCAAAAACAGTCTCCAAGCCAAGATTAAATTTACGAATGCAAATAATGAGGAAATTATCATATTTGGATATTCAAATGATTCGTAATTGGGAGAAAATGTATAGACTCCTGGACAAGAAAACATTATAACATTTAATCCACTTTCAACTTCATATTGTTGAGCCTAGTAAAAAAAAGTAATAGTTACGCAGCATGCAAAGTTATAAAATCCAGTAGGGTAAGGAATGAAAAATTACAATTCCATAGAGAGAGCATGCAATATTGAGTCCAAGTATCACAAATATTTGAATCATGTTTTGGTGAATTACCTTTAAAACAAATAAAACAAATAAAATTATGAATGTATTGAATGTATTAAATGTATTTAATTTACTTTTTTTCGATAATTATATATTCTTACCGCATTTAAACAAAAATAAACTTGGACAATTTGAAAGAAAACGAAACAACAATTTTCAGCAAACAATAATGTAAGCCTATTGTCGGCCAGTTCCACTTCACATGAAGCAGCAATCGTTCGATTTTGCTCCAAATAAGATTCCATTTGGTCGCTAAGAGAAGTGTTACGTAAAAAAATTCTTATTTGAAGTATTATGAGAGTTATTGCTTGAAGTAAGGACACTATGATAAAACATTTCGTAATATTCGATAGCGTGATTCTTTCCCACTTTATTATGATTAAAAGGTATTTATTTTTAATAAAACATGCGAAAATTGTATCAATAAACGAATGCTTGCCTTCTTATGCCAACTTTCTTTATAAGCTTCTAAAAAAAACATTTTGGTTTAAACTACTGAATCCGTCCGAATATTCTTTTATTTTTGCATGATGAAAATCAATCGTCAAAAATGTAGATCATTAGTTTGTAAATTATTTATGTGGAAGAATGCGTAAAGATCGAATATCATAATAGAGGCTATGGAGGCTGTGTTTTGCAGATTAAATTAAGGTTGTGGCAACGTCTTTTATATTGAGCGACGCTGTCGCACTATACCAAGATATGTATTGAGTCAATATTGAGTCAATATTGATTTGCTAGCGAAAATGTCAGAAAATAGAGGAATTGATTAAATCAATTATTATTACATATTATTATTATTATTATTGAAAAGACCGAGTTCCATATAGTTTCTCTAAACGAATAATAATATAAACGTTCATACCATTATTTTGTGATATTGGCATTTGTTAATTAACGAGCTATGGTAACTCGTCAATATAACTCTAACAGTAACCGTTTTAAGACGAGGGCTTTTTCTTTAAAAAACCGTTGGAGGTTTGCGTTTTAATTATGAGAATTGTGTTATGTACTTCTTGCAAAGGTATTATTGTCTATATGAGTAACTCTAAGGGTAAGGGAAAGACAGACTTTTAGCTTTCAAGTTTATTATTTATTGTTTATTATTTATTATTTACCAGACTCAGTCATGATCAGAGACATAGGTAATTAATAGTTATCAGACAGGCACTGCCTGGTAAATTTAATTATCTACCATATATATCGCTGGTCGGTAAATAATAAATACTAAACTTAAAAGTCAGGTGTCCGGTTTTCCCTTGGCGTCACTCATATATTGGTTATTAACAATCCATGGTAACCTTAAACTTAAGGCGGGATCGAATTAAGCATTCAATCAGTGATCAGCAACAAGATCAAACTGGTGCATGGTATTACGTCACGAAACCGATAAACAAAAGTATGAAAAGTGAAAAATAAATAAATCATGCCGGCAAAGGTGTATGTAAAATAATTCAATAAACAACTTACAAAAAGATCAGTACACAAATAGTCAAATTATGAAGGTGAGATTTCAATGTGTGGAATTTAGTGAAGAGTCAATCTTGTATTTTTTTTTTAGTAATTACGTGTTTATTATGTAATAAACAAATCAAATATAGAAGTGCTGTTTTATTCTGATTGAAACATGGTCAAATCTTTATTATCTCGTTATTAAAAGAAAATTCGAAATTTGTTTTTGCTAAAGCAATTCTTCTCACTTATATACATTTGTTTATTATAAGACATAGGTTAATGTCAAAATGATGCTTACATCTTGCCATGCCACGCATCACTATCTCCTGGCCGCAAAGATTTTTTACCCGAATGTTGAGGCGCATTACCCGAACAATTATTCTTTCATTTATCATCTATTGCAGCCACAACCTAATCATCCTTCAATTAATCATCTAAGCCCAGCGATTCTCGCGATAGTTATATATAAAAATACAAAATTGGAAGGTCTATCGCTTCCACTTACCGTTATGCTTGGAAAAATAGCGCGCTAAATTTTAATTGGTCAAATTTTACTTTACAGAAACCTACGTTTTTGCTAAATATGTTTAAAATATAATAATAATCTGATAACAATTTCTGTTAAGTTAATAATATCTAACTTGTTT